TTGTGTGACCAATACCATCCAAATAATTCTTATTTTAATTTCCAAAGTTATCCATCTACAAGGAGACCTGTATAGATCAAATGATGGCACCAATGAGGATGGAGGAGGGCCAGAGTCACATGACTGAGAAGATACTAAACCTCACCCTGGAGATCATCTACCTGCTGACCGGAGAGGTGAGGAGGATTCTGGGAGGTCACATGACATCACTCTCATCTCTATTAATAAAACGCAGACCTGACCGGAGAGGTGAGGAGGATTCTGGGAGGTCACATGACATCACTCTCATCTCTATTAATAAAACGCAGACCTGACCGGAGAGGTGAGGAGGATTCTGGGAGGTCACATGACATCACTCTTATCTCTATTAATAAAACGCAGACCTGACCGGAGAGGTGAGGGGGATTCTGGGAGGTCACATGACATCACTCTTATCTCTATTAATAAAACACAGACCTGACCGGAGAGGTGAGGAGGATTCTGGGAGGTCACATGACATTAATCTCTATTAAAAAACACAGACCTGACCGGAGAGGTGAGGAGGATTCTGGGAGTCTAACATGATATTCCTATTGGTTCCTCAATACAGCGATTTCCTCCTGTGAAGTCAGGTGATCATATGACCATCACAGTGCCTCCATGTGACTCCCTAAAACCCTGAGAGACACAACATGCAGAAGATTCTAGAAGTCACCAAGAAGATGATGGAGCTGCTGACAGGAGAGGTGAGCGGTGCCGGGAATTCTGGGACATTCTCCAGTAACAGACAAGGGATGTGTCTGGATGGTGACTGTATCATTGTGTGTGTCAGGTTCCTATAAGGTGTCAGGGTGTCACTGTCTATTTCTCCATGGAGGAGTGGGAGTATTTAGAAGGACACAAGGATCTCTACAAGGACGTCATGATGGACAATCAGCCGCCCCTCACATCACCGGGTAAGAGGAGACTTTATTGTAAAGGAGAGAGCAGTACGGAGGATCCACCTAGATCCCCCATCATCTGATAAACACATAGAAACAATGGATTCAGTCACAGTGTGTGTGTTTCCTACAGATGGATCATCAGGTCAGATGGATCCAGTCATGGGAACCCACCAGAGAGATGTCCCCGTCCTCTGTATTCCCGGGATTCCACACAGGAAGGTCACACCATCCCTCACCATCATCAGGTAGATGAGGAACAATCACTGATAGTATCATTAGGATCTGTACATTATCTGCATTGTTACCATTGATGGCATTTTTATTATATATTCAGAGTGGAAACCTGAGAGATCCTAAAGTTGAGGTTAAGAAGAGATAACAGAGGATGAAAAGGATGGTGTGATGGAAGAGGCAGAGTTTCTAAAAGGACACAATGATTTTTACCAGGACACTACAGTGGAGTCATCCAGTAACAGCAACCCACTGGAGAGATGTTCCCCGTCCTCTGTATTCCTGGGATTCCACACAGGAAGATCACACCATCCCTCACCATTGCAAGGTTTGTGGGATGGAGCATCTAGATGTGATGTCACAATACTAAACCTTATATTTTTACAAATGATGTTTTCTCTAACTTTCTTTGTTTAGGGTGAAGATCTGATAGATATAAAAGTTGAGGTGAAATCAGAAGAAGAAGAGGCGTATGTGAGGGATGATCAGCAGTCTATGGAGGAGGATGGAATAACGGGGACATTTATAGAGGAGGACACTCCTACAGAGATCAGCACAGGTGGGTCATGAACACTAAATCCATTCCTCCACCCATACTGCTCACTGATTGGTCCAGAGTAGGGCGGGGACTGGGTGATATCAGCCTGTAATCCCCTGGTCACTTTCCTGAGCTGTGTTCCCCGTCCTGTATTCCTGGATTTCTCTCGGATAATCTTCCTTCTCTGTGCTGCAGACACAATTTATGTATCTAGACTGGATTTATGGAGATTCTGGGGTTCAGCTGGCAGCAAAATGTTGATTTTCACCATATGATCACCATGTGTGTTGGGTCTTTTCCTCCATGCCGGGTCTAGTAAGATCTCTGACAGAACAATTCTCCCAGGGTTACTCTGTAGTCTGCTGGCTGTGCCGGGTGGAGGGATATGTCTGTATAGTCTCAGACCCAAGTCACTGAGTGCAGTCTCAGGAGATGGGAGGCAGCGGTGTGGGATCTCTGCAACTTGTCTCAGTTTAGTAAACATTTAAGCTACAACTGATAACTGAATACAAATATTATGAATCCTGACCCTTACCCATTGCATTGCACATTACAAACTCCTGACCCTTGCACTATATATGCTGTTCTACATTACTTTATTCTGATACTATATAATTCTAACTCTTGTATCCTGTACAATACATTACATAAGCCTGACTACTGCAAAAGACAGTTCTGGTTGTTTCCTCACTCTCTGACCTCTGGTGGGGCTCAGCCCCGCTGTTCTTCATGACTAATATCATGGAGTAAATAAGGAAGTGCAGTACTTCTTGTGTTGGGAAGATGGCGATGAGTGATAGAGGGGGTGGGGACCCTCGTCCTATAATCCCCTCATCACTGTCCCTCCTATAAAAGACAGTTCTGGTTGTTTCCTCACTCTCTGACTAAGGTCCATGAATAAAGAAATGACCTGGTAGGAGATCAGAGGAGCCATTTCCTAGTTCCCTTGAGGGTGGTCTCGTGAGATCTTCAGAGACAGTGCTGGAACTACCAAGGTCGCAGAAGTTGCACTTGTGATAGGGCCCTGGAGTCCTTCCACTTTGGGGGGACCCCGAGCAGTGTTAAAAACCACCCATTAATTTTTGGACAGTTTGGGGAAAAAAAAAACAGCTGTCCCCAAAACAATTAGGACAGGAGCATCACCCTGTAAAATTAAGTACCGATGGCTGCAGCTGAGCCGCGACTGTCAGTGACATTCTCCCAGCACACTCTCCCCCCCCCCATGGACATGAAAGCAGAGAATACAGCTGCTCCTCCTCCTCTCACCCCTTCTTCCTCCTCTATCTGCCCACCTCGCCCACACTCCTACCCTGACGTGAACCCGCTGCAGAATATGTGAAAGGGTCCCGCTAAGGGACTGTAATAAAGGGCCCCGTGATGAGATAAAGGGGACCTGGTATCAGTGGGAAGGGCTGTGAGACCAGAGGTAAGGGCCCCGGGACCGATGAGAGGGGAGCCTTTCATGTTTTTTTTTGCACTGAGGCCTTGAAGGTTCTAGTTATCCCTCTGCTCAGATGTGGGTGGAGTTCTGGTTTAGGGGAACCAATCTGTAGTGGGAGTCTTCAGAATCAGTCCAGAGGCTTATCTAGCATGAGGGAAACAAGGCATTTGCCTAGGGCAGCACAATTTTTAGGGGGGGCGGCACCCCCCCCCCCCCCCCCCCGGAAGAAGGGACCTTTTGAGCAGCGGCGGACAGAGCCATGCAGGGCCGCCATCAGAGGGGTACCACGGTACTCTTGCAGTAGCCCAGACAGCAGGAGGATCGATTGTGGTGAGGTGTGGGGGAGGGCAGTTGCAGAACGATGCTCATGTACCTCTCCCTCCAGCAGCTAACAAGCCAGGACCAGGGGACAGCCTGGGGCAGGGAGAGGAGAAGTGGTGGAGATGAAAGAGCCTGGAGGAGGTGAGCTGTGTTGTGTTCAGTGAGATCTCCCTCCTGTCGTCCATCCCAGCACATTATACACTGACAGATCGTATGGGACTGCACCCTCCCCCCCCCCCCCCCCCCCCCCCCCCCCCCGTCCTGCTGCCCGGAGATCAGCAGCCCTTGGAGGAGATGTGTGTGTGTGCAGCCCCATACGATCTGAGAAAGAGAGGGGGGGGAGACAGGGAGGGAGAAAAAGAGGGGGGAGAGAGAGGGAGACCCCCTAAGAGAGAGAGAGAGAGAGAGAGGAGAAAGAGAGAGGAGAGAGAAAAATAAAGAGAGGGGAAGAAAGAAAGGGAGGGGGGAGAGGAGAGGGAAGAGGGAGAAATAGACGGAGGATGGGGGAGATAGGAAGATTTTATAGAGAGGAGGAGGGGAGAGAGGGAGAGAGAATCGTATATACATACATACACTTGTTGACTCGCTCTCTCATTGGGGGGCACAACATTTTTGTAATTGCCTAGGGCAGTACAAAATCTAAATACACCACTGGATCAGTCCAGGCTTCATCTTGGTTGTTCTCCCCCCCCCATCCTCACTCTCTGACCTCTGGTGGGGCTCAGCCCCGCTGTTCTTCATGACTAAATCATGGAGTAAATAAGGAAGTGCAGTACTTCTTGTGTTGGGAAGATGGCGATGAGTGATAGAGGGGGGGGGGGGACCCTCGTCCTATAATCCCCTCATCACTGTCCCTCCTATAAAAGACAGTTCTGGTTGTTTCCTCACTCTCTGACTCTGACTAAAGGTCCATGAATAAAGAAATGACCTGGTAGGAGATCAGAGGAGCCATTTCCTAGTTCCCTTGAGGGTGGAATTGTAAGCTCCTCAGAGACCAAGCTGCCTGATGTGGGCGGAGTCCTGGTTTGGGGGAACCAATCAGCTCCTGTCTAGTAATCCTCTTTGTCTTTGTATTTTAGTCCATGGCCGGGAGATGAGGAAAACCTCCGAGGATTGTCTCACTTTGTCTCCAGACTGGAAAGTAGAAGATGAGGACATCACACAGTATAGTCCAGGAGAAAACCCGGCTCCCTCCAATGTCCATCCGGCACCACCCAGTGTAGATGGACCATCGGATTCCTCGTATCCTGAGGAACCTCAGACTGTGCGGGACCGGGCCGGCCTTCCAACAGGGAAGAGGTTCTCCTGTACTGAGTGCGGGAAGAGTTTCCATACTAAATCCCATCTTATTAAGCATAAAAATCTCACACAGGGGAAAAGCCGTATTCTTGTCCTGAGTGCGGGAATGTTTTTTCAGTAAATAAATCAAAGCTCTTGTCACACATCAGAGATCTCACACGGGGGAGAAGCCATAATTCCTGTACTGAGTGTGGGAAATGTTTTTCACACAAGTCCAATCTTTACAGACATCAGAGGTCTCACTTGGGGGAGAAGCCGTATTCCTGTACTGAGTGCGGGAAATGTTTTGCACACAAATCCCAACTTTTGTCACATCGGGTATCTCACACAGGGGAGAAGCTGTATCCCTGTTCTGAGTGCGGGGAAATGTTTTTCACACAAGTCCAATCTTTACAGACATCAGAGATCTCACTCGGGGGAAGCCGTATTACTGTCCTGAGTGCGGAAAATATTTTTTACATAAATCCAAATTTGAGTCACATCAGAGTTCTCACACAAGGGGAGAGAAGCCGTATTCCTGTCCTGAGTGCGGGAAATGCTTTTAAAGAAATCAGAATTTTCAAAACATCAGAGATCTCACACGGGGGAGAAGCCATTTTCTTGTCTTGAGTGCGGGAAAATGTTTTTCAGACACGTCCAATCTTTACAGACATCAGAGGCTGCACACGGGGAGAAAGCCGCATTCCTGTCTTGAGTGTGGGAAATGTTTTGCACAAAAATCAGATCTTGTAACACATAAAAGATTCACACGGGGGAGAAGCCAAATTCCTGTTCTGAGTGTGGGAAATGTTTTTACTAAAGTCAGAGCTTGTCACACATCAAAGATCTCACACAGGGGAGAAGCCATATTCCTGTCCTGAGTGCGGGAAATGTTTTTCAGATAGGTCACATATTTACAGACATCAGAGATTGCACACAGGTGAGAAGCCGTATTCCTGTTTTGAGTGCGGGAAATGTTTTTTCAGAAAAGTCAAAGCTGGTCACTTCACACACATCAGAGATCACACGGGGGAAAAGCCATATTCCTGTCTTGAGTGCGGAAAATGTTTTTCTCAGAGCTCTAGTCTTTACACACATCAGAGATCTCACACAGGGGAAAAGCCGCATTCCTGTTCCTGAGGCGGGAAATGTTTTTCAAAGAAGGCAAGCCTTTTCAAACATCAGAGATCTCACACAGGGGAGAAGCCGTATTCCTGTCCCAATTGCTGGAAATGTTTTTCACAGAAAAGTCCAGTCTTTCCAGACATCAGAGATCACACACAGGGAGAAGCCGTATTCCTGTCTTAGTGCGGGAAATGTTTTTCACAGAAGTCTCATCTTTACAGACATCAGAGATCTCACACGGGAGAGAAGCCACTTTCCTGTCCTGAGTGAGGGAAATGTTCCTCTCTGAAGTCCTGTCTTCCTGTACATCAGGGGTCCCACACAACCTTGGAGGTGTATTAGTGCTTTGAGTGCGGGAAATGTCTTCTAGATGAATGTTGCTGGACATCCCAGCTCTCATGTGGGGAAGAAGCACACCCTGATATACACCTCAGATATACTCCATGGCTGATCTTCATGATGGAAGAAACAGTTCATAAGGAGATCAGAGGTCACCAAAGACATGGATGAAGTGGGACCGGGTTGGCCATTGATAGCAGGAGAAGAATAAAAATGGAGTCATTACCTTTCATTGGCTGAGTACATTTTGTGGTGGAAGATTCACTTTATAGAAAATTCATCGGAACCATGTCTATTACAAATTTATTGGACGAATGTGACAAGCCTTCGCCCAGCTGTGATAAAAACATTCTGGACTTCTTATATTTTATTCAGTGATTTCTTATGATCGTGTTCTTTAACCCCTTCCAGTCCAGACACTTTCACCCCTTTCCTGTCCAGGCCAATTTTCAGCTTTCAGCGCTATCACACTTTGAATGACAATTGCGCGGTCATGCAACACTGTACCCATATGAATTTTTTTTGAGACAGATAAAACTTTATTTTGGTGGTATTTATTCACCGCTGGGATTTTTATTTTTTTGGTATATAAATGAAAAAGTCCAAAAATTTTGAAAACAAAGTTTCTTTCTTATAAAATTTTGCAAATAAATAATCTTTCTTCATAAATCTTGGCCAAAATGTATTCAATTATATTTTTTAGTAAAAAAAAAAAAACTTAATTAGTTTATAACCAAAAATTGTAATTTGTAAAAAAAAATTTTTTTACATTTTAATTTTATTTTTTTATATTATTATTTGTTTTTTTTTTAACATACTGTCACCCTAGTGACACTGTCATGTTTCACATGACTGTCATATTGACTGTCATATGCCTTTAAGTGTTTCTATATTTTCTTTCTGCTCCTAACTTTCCTTTGGTTTAGTTAAATCTGTATAGATAGCCCTCCCCCTTTCCCAAAGATGCATAGCAGCTCTGGCCTCATGTCATGAAGCAGGACACATTATGATCTTTTGACCTATCGAATGTTCAGTATTGTAAGATCTTCTCAGTTTATGGAATAAACTTCACAAGAGCTACAAGATATCTTCTCGATTGAGTCACTGACTGTGGTATCCAACTGAGATTGGAGTTATCGCTATTTCATCACAACCAGGGGCGGACTGACCATTTGGAAACTCGGGCACTGCCCGAGGGCCCGGGGTCAGTAGGGGGCCCCATGAGATGCCCCTGGCACCTTTTTCATAGGCTTTTTTGAGTTTGGGTAAGGACACAGGGGCCCCATGATCCCCTATTGCCCTGGGGCCTCATGAGTTGTCAGTCCGCCCCTGATCACAACTGTAAGTTACAGAGATCACATTATCAATGCTTAGATTGGAGAGGCAGAATAGACACCTTACTAATTGTGGGAGGTGATGAAGATTTTTTTTTATTTACACTGATGGCTGTAAAAGCAATAATTTCTCCTCTCTGACTGCATTCTTTCAGCCATTGAGAAATACAGTGTGAGCTGTGATTGGTCACAGCTTGTCACATGGTACAAGGCTGTTGTGAATAGCCCTGTATCATGTGACCTCTGTGATCATTCGCAGATTTCACACGTAGTAAGTAATGAATGTCAGGAAGTGAAATCTTGCTTACACCTATTCATGTGATCACTGATTGGCCAATCAGTGAGCACATGATCGGGGGACCTCACACAGAGGTCCCGTACAGTGATCGGTATTCGCGGTGCCGAGCGCTCCCAGGGAGCATGCACAGTCCAAACCCGCCTCTGCACTGCTACCGTCTGGCCGTTTATATATAGCAGCCAGACGGGAAGTGGTTAAAAAGCCTTTATGGATCATTTGTTTGGAGTTATGGGCCACAAATGATTGCTGTCACTCCATTGTGTACAGGAATATGTCATGTGTGTAGCACAATCAACATTTTCATATGTAGGCAGCAGTGACGTGCGTTTACATTTGCATCTGCATGTATGCAAGGTCTCAAACATTTTGGAGGAAAGGGGTTTAGGTGTTTGGACGTAACTAACTTTTTACACTTTTTTTTTACTTAAGGGTGTTGTTTTCACATAATCCCCAATCTGAAAGGATATTGATGTAACAGGTTCTCTTTAACAAGACATCAGGGGTCTATTAGAACTGATGTTCCATGGTCTCCCTCATCAGTGGGTGACCAATGACCAATGGGAGAAAGAGCCCCTTATCTCTGGTCAGTGTAGTGGTCCCTTACATTGGTGACCCCCTTTATATCATTGGTGTGACCAATTGGTGAGGAGAAGGACCCCTTATATCAGTGGTCAGTGTAGTGATCCCTTACATTGGTGACCAATAGGAGAAGGACCCCCTTATATCAGTGGTCAGTGTAGTCCCTTAGTGACCAATAGTGGACCCTCTTATATCATTGTGTAGTGACCCTTAATGGTGACCAAAGGAGAAGGACCCCCTTATATCAGTGGTCAGTGTAGTGGTCCCTTACATTGGTGACCAATGGGAAAAGGACCCCCTTATATCAGTGGTCAGTGTAGTGGTCCCTTACATTGGTGACCAATGAGAGAAGGATCGCTTACATCAGTGGTCAGTGTAATGGCCCTTTACATTGGTGACCAATGGGAGAAGGATCCCCTTATATCAGTGATCAGTGTAGTGGTCCCTTACATTACTGACCAATGGTAGAAGGACCCCCTTATATCAGTGGTCAGTGTAGTGGTCTCTTACATTGGTGACCAATGGTAGAAGGACCCTCTTATATCAGTGGTCAGTGTAGTGGCCCCTTACATTGGTGACCAATGGGAGAAGGATCTCCTTATATCTGTGGTCAGTGTAGTAGTCCCTTACATTGGTGACCAATGGGAGAAGGACCCCCATATATCAGTGGTCAGTGTAGTGGTCCCTTACATTGGTGACCAATGGGAGAAGGACCCCCTTATATCAGAGGTCAGTGTAGCGGTCCCTTACATTGGTGACCCATGGGAGAAGGACCCCCATATATCAGTGGTCAGTGTAGTGGTCCCTTACATTGGTGACCAATGGGAGAAGGACCCCCTTATATCAGAGGCCAGTGTAGCGGTCCCTTACATTGGTGACCCATGGGAAAAGGACCTTCTTGTAAAGAATCTGTTTTACAAGGAATATGTTGGAAAAGGCAGTACAGGGAAAATGTGGAACATACCAGGAAAAGGGGTATACAGAGAAGGGGAGCAGATAGGGCCTGGGCATAATAAGGAAGATAAACCAGAAAAAGCCAACAAACCTGCAGGAATGATTCATCCCAACCTGCTACTCCCTGCCAATGATTTGCCTTTAGAAGGTATTACACCAGACAGGACAAAGACAAATACCACTAGGACAATGATAAGAGCAGAAAAAGCAACAACCCAGGGAGCACAGATTACGATACTAGGGGAGTAGATAAGGGGGGGATAGGGGGCCCAAAGCTGACACTGGGTGTGCACTGAATGCACTGCAACCACCAATCCTGCCATCTGTCAGATCTCAGAGACAGGCAATGGCAATTCATAGGGAGGAAGGTTCTATTTACCTCCTCCTCTGCTCCAGTCACAGGACACAACTGAGGGAGGAGCTCACTCTGAAATGCCATTCTGGTGAGTGATATTCATGGAGGGAGGAAAGCTTCTTGGGGGTGCTGACCCCTATATTCAGAATGTCACTGTCACTTACCAGATCTAGCTACAGTGTCTCTCTATACTCCAGTCTGACTCTGGTTACAAACTACAGAGCTTCATAATGTCTCTCTCCCGAAATAGGATCCCCCCTCCCAATCGAAAACCTATTCAAAGCTTGGTCTGTTCATTATGAACACCCTAAGCCTCAGAGAGGTGCTTGATTTAGGAAGTCTTCTTCGACTCATCCAGAGAAAGCAGATGTGTCAGCTGTACCACTGACAGACACTCTGGGGGAAGTTTGGACCCCCCTATCCCCCCTTATCTACGCCCCAGATATAGCAGAACATTACAAAATTATTTTGGTTTATAGTGAAACCAAGGATGGTATGCAGTGGGGGCTTTTTCCACCATCTAGTCCAGTGGTTCTTAACCTTTTTGGAGGTACTGAACCCCACCAGTTTCATATGCGCATTCACCGAACCCTTCTTAATTGGAAAAATAAAATATGATTTTTAAAATTCAAAACATAGGTATATATTTATACATAGGTGCACAAAATGAACAAAACCGTTAAGAACAAAACAAAACCATTAAAACATGATTTTCACACAAAAACAAAATAATGAATATTTACCGCAAATCAGTGTGACTTCTGCTGTTGTCTTTCAGAGGCCAGTTCAGAAATGCGCGGCATTACCTTGGCAAGTGCCACTCTCATGTCATTTTCGCAACAAAGTCTGTTCCTTTTCTTCGTCTTTATGTCCAGCATCCTCGAAAAGGATTGCTCGCAAAGATATGTTGTAACAAACGGTATGAAAATTCATCCCCCATAGTAATTCATCCCCCATATAGTAATTCATCCCCCATATAGTAATTCATCCCCCAGTAATTCATCCCCCATATAGTAATTCATCCCCCATAGTAATTCATCCCCCATATAGTAATTCATCCCCCATAGTAATTCATCCCTCATATAGTAATTCATCCCCCATATAGTAATTCATCCCCCCATATAGTAATTCATCCCCCATATAGTAATTCATCCCCCCTATAGTAATTCCTTCCCCATATAGTAATTCATCCCCCATAGTAATTCATCCCCCATAGTAATACATCCCCCATATAGTAATTCATCCCCCATATAGTAATTCATCCCCCATATAGTAATACATCCCCCATATAGTAATTCATCCCCCATATAATAATTCATCCCCC